AGACAAAAGGTATGCATTTAAGGTCTCCAGTGAAAGTACAGAATATCAAAATTGTTGATATTGAGTCTCTTTTTCTTTAAGTCTGTTACTTTCCAATTAGTTGTACTTAGGAAACCAGCTAACTGGCAATCTGTTGTTATCAGCTAGACCAAAAGAAAACCTCAAGAAAATGCAGGTTTCTGGTAAATTTATTAGTATAGCTGACATTTTCCCACCTGCTTATCAGAACAAACATGTGGACACTGTTTGAAAATAGAAAGCTATAAAAATACTTGGAAAAATCTAAATCATTAGATAATTAACTGTCTCAGGCTGCATGCAGTGGTGCACGCCTGTAATCAGCTTGGGAGGCTGAGATAGGAGGATTGCAAGTTCAAAGCCAGTGTCAGCAGTGGCAGAGGCACTTAGCAACTCAGTGAGACCCTCTCTCTAAATAAAATACAAAATAGAGCTGGGGGTGTGGCTCAGTGGTTGAGTGCAATCTCTGGTACCAAAAAAGAAAAAAAAAACAAGAAAAAGAAAAGCAAGATAATTAACTGTTTCAGAAATGAAATAAAATTGATACCCACTTAGAATATAGTAATTTTTTGTATGCTTTTGGTATTGTAAATATATATTCCAGTTGAATACTTACAGAATATCCTAAAAGACTTTGAAGTAACATCTTAAATGACAGCCTGTTAGAACAACATAAAAATCACAGACTTTTAGATAAATAGTAATTTGAACATTTTAATTTATTAAATAGCATTTAAGATAATTCTCACTTTTTACTTCTGTTTTGACTTTTTCTTACTGCAGGGTTACTGCTAGAACCTGGAACTGCCTAATCAGCTTTCCTATTTCCTCAGTTTACCAGTTTTGCACTCAATTGTTATTCATTTTGTGTGTGTATCTTTACAGAAGCAGTAGTTTAATGGAAATCATAGTCTGGCTTCTTGCATGTAAAATTTTGCATAAGAAACCCAGCATTATGTTTTATAAAGTTATACTTCAATCTAAAAGGACAACTGTATACAATTGAACTTAATCAAGTAATAAAATGTTTTCTCTTTGAAACTTTGACTTTTTCCTTAATGAATAAAAGACACCTAGAGCTGGAGTTGTGGCTCAGTGGTAGAGTGCTTGCCTGGCATGTGTGAGGTCCTGGGTTCGATCTTCAGCATCATACATAAATAAATAAAATGAAAGGTCCATTGACAACTAAAAAAAATTTTTAAAAAAAGACATTCAAGGAACTTTTTTTTAAGTCATAAAATCTAACAGGGCTTCTTTGTTTCTTCACAAGTATCTTTTCAGTGTCTTTTTAAAAAATTTTTTTAATTGTTAATGGACATTTATTTTATTCGTTTATTTATGTGTGGTGCTAAGAATCAAACCCAGTGCCTCACACATGCCAGGAAAGTGCTCTACCACTGAGCTACACCCCCAACCTCAATGTGTCTTTATTTTTTTTTCAAGTTAAAAACACTCCATCTTTTTTATTGTTAATTTTCTTAACTTTTTTTTCATTAAATACTATCTTTTCTCCAAGAAATAAAGTATTATAATAAAGCTTGTAACTAAACCCTACTAATAATCATTTTAGAAGGAAATAGATCTTTAAGGATACTTTGTTGCTTTTTAGAAAACAGATTTAAATGATTCCTAAATTTCTTCAGAACTTTTTTTCAATTGCAATTTTGCCATGAATTACTGTTACTGTCAATCTACAGCCTTTCAAACTTAAAGTCTTTCTGCATTCTTCAACTTCTTCCTTAAAATGTTAGAGCTTACCTTGGGCTTTGTAGGTTTTTGTTTTATTTTTACTTTTTTATACTGGGGGTTGGACCCAAGGGTACTATATTATGGAGCTTCATCCCCAGTTCTTTTATTTATTTATTTTTTATACAGAATCTCACTAAATTGCTGACGCTGACCTCAAACTTGTGATCCTTCTGCCTCAGCCTTTCAAATCTTTGGGATTATAGGCATGCACCACTATGCCCAGCTTACCTTGGGCTTTGTCATTTTATTTGCTCTGATAATTTTATCACCTTTCATTTAATCATTTAAGGGAATGAATATGATATGATGCCAAATTAGATGACAACAACAACAAACACCAAAATGACAGCTGAACACAATATGCAAATAAGTAACCCTCATTAGTCCTTTTTGTAAATTCCATTTACATAGCCTGCTCTGCCATTTCTCATGTTACATGTGGGATTTGGAGAATATATTCTATAAGAATAATGGTTTCATTTATTTTATATCGGTGAGCATTCTCCCCCCTTATACTTTTTTCTCCTTACTGAATTCTTCCTTCCTGCTTCACTCATTTATTCCTCTCCACTTGGCACCTTCTCCTCCACTTTGAGGATATATAGGATTGAGAATGAGTAAGTCTAATGCCAATAAAAATCTTAGGATGATTCAGTTATGAAACAGATTTTTAATGTTTATTAGTCTTCTATTGTTATGTTGTTATTGTTCTATGCCTTTGAAATATTTTATTTTAAAAGTGGGATGATTAAAAATAAGATGCAGACATAAGTATATGCAAGTGGTATTAGACAGCTATAAATCGATAATTATGGTCATTAACTTAAGGCCATAAATGCCTATGGTTGTATTTCTTCCCTAATTCCTTATAGATTATAATTCACATTTAAATCAGCAGAGGCTAAAATAAATGACATAAACTTCTATAACAAATCCAAGAAAGCTAATTTGCTTGGACTGTTGCTTAAATCTCTGTACTCCCATCTACTGCATTCTCATATTCGGAATACTATAAATTAAGGTAAAAATATATCAACTGTCTGTGTCTCCTAGGCAACTAATTTGCTCACTTTTTCATTTACGTTTTCTCAACTATGAAGCAGGAATAATAATAGTATCTATCACACAGAATTCTTATGATCATTATCCCCAAAGGTCATAGAACAATTCTAGGTACGTAAGTGTCTCTATCCACCCGAGCTCCACAAGAGAATTAGGCCCTATAGAGAAAAATGATTTGAATTAGTTCTTGTACTAGGAGTACCTAGTAAGTACCAGTTCAGATGCATAGGAATTATTAAATCATTTACTTGTAATAATGCTATAGGCATCAGGGCTTAATTCCTTTGAGGAACCTCAAGTGAAAAGGCCTCATAGGTGCTCAGAATATTTTAGCTATTATTATTTTGGTTGCAAATGACAGAAATCCATATTCAAACTGGTTTACTTAGTTGTTTCCTAAGTGAAAAAACAAGGAAGGCTTCAGAGATGGCTTTTTAGAATTCTGACTATCTCTACCATTCTGTTGGTTTTGGCCATTGGGTCAAACTAAAATTTCTAACTAAATTTTCAAAAGAAAAAAAATTACTTTTTTTCTTAATTACAGACTTATGGCTAAAAATTATGTTTTTAGAACATATTTAAGAAATTAGCGTATTTGAAATACAGTAGTTTCTAAATAAGAGTTCATTCTTAGATAATTGTATCTGGTAGTTATGTGTTTAAATATATAAGAAAAATATTAAAGTCCTGGAAAAGCTATATTTATGCTTTTTTATCTACACTAATATTAGTTACATTGACCCAATTTATTAAGGTTTTTAAGATAAGCTGCCAAAACAAAAAGAACAAAATCATAAAACAAAAGGTGGGGTGTACAGAAATAACTTGAAGAAGGGATTTTGAAGTACAGACCAAGGGTAGTTAAGGATACAATCAAGGTGTCAAGGACAGTTAATTCAAAAGAGCAGACTTATAGGAGTGGTGCCTTGACTTCACAGGGTAGCTATCCATTCTGTGGCTGGAGCAGTTCCAGTTATTTCTTCTTCCAAGGATGTTAGGGGAAATAAAAAAGTGGATGTGGACTTGGAGAGGTCTAAACCAGATTTCCAAGGTCCCCTCTTACTGTGCTTTTGAAAAAATAGCAAGAGGAATCTCCACTTTGGAAAATGCTCTTCCATTATAACCCATTGTTCTCAAGGCAGTTATACAGGCCCTAAGACACATTTGAAACCTACTTATAAAAAATGTAAATACTCAGTACTAAGATTACTTTTATAGAGATTTCAAAGCTGTCTAAAATTATAGTGTACATCTTTTTTGTTCTATGTGCACCAATATTGATGATCTTCAGGTTGTATTGTTGGGAGAGATCAGCAAAGTGTAGAACAGCATGTTTAATGTCTGTTGTATGGGTAAAAATAAGTGAGTATGTGTTCATGTGTCTTATACATTATATATGTACAAACTATCATGGGTAGACTACACTAAAAAGCTAATAACAATGGTTATCTCCATGGAAGGAAACTGATTAGTTGGTAACTGTTAAAAGTAAGCCTATACTTTTCAGTACTGGATATTTAGCAGATAGATATCTCTGATCAGAGCTTCAGAACATTCTAAGCATCCACACATGGCTTCCTAATTATAAATAATCTGGAGATATCAAACATAATTATGAAATTATGATTTTTTAAAATACCAGGGTTTGAATCCAGGGGACTTTACCACTGAGCTACATCCCCAGTCTTTTTTATTTTTAGTTTGAAGAGAGGGTCTGGCTAAGTTGCTGAGACTGGCCTCAATCTTGGAAACTTTCTGCCTCAGCCTCCCTGAATTGCTGGTGGTTTTACTCTTTTAAGCCTATTAGCTGAAAAGTTCACATTTGTTTTCAGGTAGTATAGGGAAAAGGTAGGCTGCATGTGATGGCACACACCCGTAATCCCAGCAGCTTGGGAGGCTGAAAGAGGAGCATCAAGGCCCACATCAGCAATTTAGCAAGGCCCTACACAACTTAGTGAGATCCTCTCTCAAAATTAAAAATAAAAAGGACTGGGGATGTGGCTCAGTGGTTAAGTACACACCCCTGGGTTCAATCCCTGGCACCCCCCCCCAAAAAAAAATACACACACACACACGTACGTATACTTATGCTGCTCTATATCTTGAAATATTTGAGTACATGCTATGAATATTGTCTTTTGTTTTTGCTTTATTGAATTATCACAAAACAGAAAGAAGAAGGAAAGCTTCAAGGACAGCTTAACAAGTCTGATTCTAACCAGTATATTAGGGAACTGAAAGATCAGATAGCAGAGCTGAATCATGAGGTAAGTGATAAATTTTGATCTTCACATATTTCTTTCTTCCTTCCTCTGTATTGTAACAACACTGTATTACTGGTTGTAAGACTGAGACTTTTATGTTAAATTCTATCTGAATTCTTGATTATAATAATAATATTTTAGAAGATTATCTTTTTGCAAGTATTCTTCTGTTATAATATTGTAGATTTATTTTCCTTCAACTTCTGATTATGACCTAAAATTATCAATTAATATTTTCATGAAAAATATTTTTGTTGTTGTCTGAAATTCTTTGATAGTTTTCTTAGGTTTCAAGTTTGCCTCAGTTAAACGAAAGTTTTCCTTACAGATATAGCACAGGTTCGTGGAACTTAACTGTTGTGGGTAGAGGGAAGTCTTTTTACTCTTGCCTGCCTTTCTCCCTCATGGTGGTATTACTGAGATTGCAAAAAAGGATACTTGCCTAACATCAGTTAACAGATTTCTTAGTATTTGAATGCTTTTTAAACTGGCACTACCTAGAATCTGTGAAATCCAACCCATGAAATTTTCCTAATTTTACTAGATATTATACTAGTTTATATTACTCAAACTAATGTGTTTTGACATGAGAGATACTCTGTGAATGTGGCTCTTAAGTTGACTTCCTTATTCTTTATTATTTTCTAATGACAAATATCTGGCAACACAAATAAAAAAGTATATTTCTTATTTTGATTTTTTTTATAAAATAGTGTTTAGTTACAGTGTTGAGATTTGAAAGAGTAGCATAAACTTGATTTGTTAAGAAAATAAAAGAAGATGAAAGAAACTCATTTTGGCTGCTAAATGATTTTAAACCTCAAAGGAAAAAGTTTAGAAATTACCCTTTCCTGATATTACACACTTCAGTTGAAGTCTGAGTGTTTTTAGGTAATACCTCCTGGAGGTAGTCAATCTAAGAGTAAATTCCAAGTGAAAAAGAACCAAACCATAGGCAAAATGATAAATATTAGATGTAGTTCAATTCAATTTATCTTGAAATACTAAGGATCATTCCTGTAAATATTAATTTTTAGCCTTGATAACATTTGAAGGATTCAGTATTCTATGTAATCTTTACCTTATTGTGTGCATTTTTTATAATCTTTTTATCTATAGCATGTATGAAAGAAAACAGTTACAAAAAAATAAGCATATTCTAGAAATCCTTATTCTTTTGAAAACCCTACAAATTATTCCTTGTGTTTGAAAGGTATTCTCAAAGAAAATTGTGACTAAAATAAACAATCTCCCATTTAAATTTTTGAGGTCTAGTGATAAGGAATCATTAATGTTGCTGAACTTTTAGAAAAAAATTACATCAAGATTGGCTGATTGATGTAATTAAAAATTACATCAAGATTAGTTTTATTCTAAAACTAGGCTAAAAAAAATCAGTCAACAAACTTTAATTTTGCTTATTATATGACCTGACTAAAAATAATGGTATTTTTTTTTTTAATGTGGCACTTGTGAAAGCAGTTTCTTTTCTTATACAAACATGAAAACTAAACACGATAGAATTTTCTTCTGTTAAAGAGTCAGATGGTGCTGGGCTCCAGTGGTGCACACCTGTAATTCCAGCAACTGCAGAGGCTGAGGAAAAAGGATTGCAAATTTGAGACCAGCCTTGGTAACTAAATAAGACTCTTGGCAGTTTAGCAAGATCCTATCTCAAAATTTAAAAAAAAAGAAAGAAAGAAAAGAAAAAGGAACTGGGGGATATAGCTCAGTGGTAAAGCACTTCTGGGTTCAAGCCCCAATACCAAAAAAAAAAAAAAAAAGAGGAGGAGGAGGAGAACTAAATCGTGCAAATTAAAGAGAACAATTTGTGATAAGATGCTAATAACTTCATGGTTCAGAATAGCCAAAGTCCTGGGCTTAAGCAGGCCCTAGTCAGAAGTCATGGGAGAGAGATGCGAATAGTACAGTACCGCTAGGGACCACACATATAAGAGTTCAGAGGTAAGCATGAGAACAAAGTTGGGAGTTTAGAGTGGGTGAGATTCAACTAAAGGATAAATTGACTAAGTTGGACTAAGGCATAGGAAGGAAGAGTAAACTAAGCAGAACCAGATTGTGATGATTCTTTAAAGCTAGAAAAGGTAATATGAAACCATTGTGGGTATTCACTTGGAAGTTCTTTTTCATTATATTTTCTGAGCATATTTTATTTTTCACCTGTTTAAAAGTTTTATCACTGAAGACATAAATGACAACAAGTGAAAAATATAAACCAAGTATTGATTGTGTAGGCTTTCTACAAAAATTACTATTGTAATTGCTATTTTATTGTTGGATCAGCTCTTTTGAAGTGGTTAAATACAGGGCTGGTGATGTAGCTCATTGTTAGAGCACTTGCCTAGCATTTGCAAGATTCTGGTTTGATCCCTAGTCCCAAAAGAAAAGTGATTAAATACAGTACCTCTTTTTTATTCCACTATTTTCATTGTTTGATAGAGCACTTCACAGTTTAAAAAAAGATAACCAAAGTCAGTCTAATTTCTTCAATTTAACATTTGTATATTAGAATTTGCCCTAATCATTGGCTTTCAATATGAAAATTTACTGCAAAATATCAATAATTGTATTTTGAGAATTTGACTGTTAATAGTCACTTTGTTCACTGATTTCTTAAAATTTCTCTAAATATTGAAGAAAATGTTGAGAAAAACTTTACACTTTCATCTTCCTGAAGACAACTATGACCGTTTAGCATAGTCAGCTGGATGAAATAATGAAGTAGGTTATTTTTATGAGTAGCTGAATACATTGTTATTCTATAAAATAATTATTATTTATAGACTAGTATGAGCATAATATTGTGGCAGACACTTTGTAGTTATTATTCCTAACCCTCTTAATAATCCCATCTGAACGTGGTCCTCATTTGCATGAGTGTGGAAACTGAAACTCAAAATCATTATCTTGCTAGGCATTATATGAGCAAGAAATGGTAGAATCAGGATTTAATTTAATTTGGCTTGTTCTTTTTTAAAAATATTTTTATTAGTTGTTGGTGAACCTTTATTCAGTTAATTTATTTATTTGTATGTGGTGATGAGAATCACATCCAGTGCTTCACCCATGCTAGGCAAGCGCTCTACCATTGATCCACAATCCCAGTCCTGGCTTGTTCTTTTCTATACTGCTTACAGAGACATTAGATTAAAAAACTTGTCATCAGTTTCTAAAATCAGAAGAAGGTGCTTACTAACAGTATTTTAACTGTGTTGTTCCCCCCCATCTTACAAATGAATTTTCCATATATTCAAAATGAGTGCTGCAGTTGACCTAGTCACAAGAACTAACTGTCTCTCTCTGTTGGCATTGCAAAGGGAGGTTTATCTGTACTTCCTGCAACTTACTGTGATCCATTCTAGTGCCTTCTCTCACTCCCAACCCCTTGTAATCCCTAATTACCTGATTAGTTTTGCTTCTTATTTTTTTTTACTTATTTTCTACTTATTTTCCATAGGAATTTTTAAAGTTAGAGCCTTTTACACATTGCCATTGCCTTCAGAGAAGCCATTATGTGGAAACCCTTGTTTGCATAGACCTAACAAGAGCTGGGGTTAAATCTTACTGAACTTCTTACCCCTTGTCCTCATAGACAAGAACCTGGCTATCGAAGTGCTTTTTCCTATCCTATCCTCCTACCTATCATCAGAGTACCTGCTATGCACTAGACATTGAGTTTATAACTGAAAATAAAGATTGAAATACAGTTTACACTCTTAAAGGTCTCATAGTCTGCAGTGGAAATAGGCATACAAATAAATTGCCACGCGTTATGAGAAGAATTGCAGTGTAGTGACTATCATTTATTGTTCTGTGCCAGATTTTGTACTATTATACTTGCTATTGTTTATTTAAGTCCTCACAGTAGTCCTATGAAGAAGGTAACATCATTGTCATTCATGTTTTACATGCGATAAAACATGGGTCTGGGGAATAAAGTAACTCCCCCACAGTCATGCACTAGTCAGTAAAGAGGTGGGATTTTTTTTTAGTTCAGGTTACATATAACTTATACTTAAGTCCACACACTCCAAACCCAACCACCATATACTATGTAGCCTCCTTAGAAATATAAAGGGATAAGATGGTAACAACATCTGGGATGGTTTTTGAAATTAAATTTGTCAGGCAAATTGATCATCTTGAAGGTTTAAATCAGAAACGTGAAACAAAATTACAAGTTCCGGGAAGTAATAACCACCTCCTTTTTCAACACAGGAGTATCTTCTTAACAGTTACTGACCACCAAAAACAAATGATATATTTTGTAAATGCCAGGAAAATGAGATAGAAGAAGGTTGAAAATATTCTGGTTTAGAAGACAAAGGAAATGTACTCAGGACTCATTTAATACAGACATCTGGGAAATCAATCTTATGATTCAATCAAATTGTCAGCTAACTAGACTTCCCTGGGTCTTTTTGAGCCTTGCTATCATTTACAGTATTGTTTTATGGGAAAATGCATATTAGCCAACTGATGCAAAAATGTTTTTGGAATACAGATATATTTTTACTTTTTCTTAATAGTAGTGTGATGGTTGTAGTTCTGGTGGATGTTCTAGGAATTACAGACTAAGGATGGTTCACTTATACAAAAAGTAGACTATTCCTCAGATTTGTTGAACATAATGATGTCTAAATAAAATAATCTTAATGTACTTTATGTTCTTACCATTTTACAAAAGCAATTCTAGTTCTATTTGATTAGTATATTTTCTGTGTAGAGCAAAGTTTCTGTATTTTTATTAAGCTTTCTGTGTTGTAGCTGCTAAAAGAGATATTGCAGAACCTTTGGATAATTATTTTAATCTTTGTAAATATTCTGTTAAATTAATATTCATCCCATTTGATAGGCTCAGAGAGATTAAATAACTTGTCCAGGGTCACATAACTTAGTAGTAAGTTGCCAAAGCTAGAATTCAGGACCAGGATGTTCAGTTATATCACAAACATATTCAACTAGAATAAAGTAAAACCAAA